GAGAGTTGTCGAACCATCTTCCGTACATTTGTCGAACTGTTACTCAAATATTTCTCCGAGTGATATACTTGTGGGCTAAGGTGCTACAGAAGAAGGTTCCCAGAGAATTGATTATACTTGACAGCACATTCTGGGATAAATACCTCCTTAAACTCTGGCAAAACTTCCCCTTCGATTATATGTAGATTTGCATTTAAAATGCTTCCGGGGTGATTTTTTGTTTTAATATTTGTCATGGGATATGAAATGACATTCAATAAAAACGCCATGGCGAAAATTTATTTATTTATTTATTTCAAATGGCAGGCGTTTTGATAACTATCATTAGCCATTTAGCTGACTTCGGGCTTTACAGAGGGAAGGTTCATCAAAGTAGAAGAAAGTCGAGGGGTGGGGAACAGAAGAGCGATTCACAGATGTAAAAGAGCCAGACAGACACAAAGGTAGAGAAAAAGGTAAGGTGAGTACTGTGAAAGGGGTCGAATATGACAACCAGGGGGTCATGGTAGTTTGAAGTCAGAAATCAAATGTCGGTTAATTGACTTTTTTGCCGTATGAGTATACGTTGCCCCGGGGTGCACCAAGTGGAGATAAGTCTATCGCACACGCCATGGCGAAAATAAAACTGAATTTCCTTCTCAAAAAAATGCTTGAGCACAACGAAGGAAAAAGATGAGGAGAAGTAAAACTAAACTTTAGCCAATTGCTGAAATAGACCTGACGATAATGCAACAATCCCAACAATAATAAGCCTTTCTTAAAGTAGTTGAGCATTCATGACACTTACACACCTCCAGAAATGTTTTTATACCATGACTTCTGAATGGAGGAAACGTTGTTGTGAATGCTTACTGCATTAAAAGTTGTGAAAAGGATAATGCGAACGAACACCTGATCAGGATCTGGGAAGGAACTATGAGTTTTCGCAAGTGTCCCTCTCATCTACAAATACTCACAAAACAGGGATATATTCGTTCAGACGCCCTAAATGCATCCAAAATATGGCCGCATGACGAACTTTGGGGAAATGGTTACTAATTAGGATTAATGGCGAAAAGGACTCTTGACATAATAAAGTGACCTATTTTGGGCATAGGTGAGGAATTAAATACCCCCCCCCCTCACCCAAAATGCAATCACTTGCAGTATTATACCACCTTAAGTCCTGAACGTATGAATCAGTGCATGGGCGAATACAAGCGACTTAAGATGGTGCAGGGAAATAATGAGATTTCCGCCTATTTAAAAAGGAAATGTGTGCTATTAGGTAATAATTTCGGAGATTCCAAAAAATGTCTCTAGAAGTGGCTTAGAAAGAAATATGCTTTTTTCACTTTTTCAAAATGAGGCCTCTTGAAGTGATTGTCACCTTTGAGGAGGCGCTGTTTTAGCCATTTTAACCGACCCAACTTCTGAATTCCCTTAGTCACTCTATTAATTTACCTTGAACCTTGAACCTTGAAAGGGCTTTCCCAGCCCTAGTTCATATATCAAAACTCAAAATTAATTCTGGGACAATTAAGAACATAGAAAATTTCTCGTAGCAACACAAAGACAAGATCATCTCTATTGGAGTTAGGCCTCAATATTTTCAGGATGCATCTGTCGAGTTAGCGTTTTCAACCAGTGGGTTAGTTTTCTTATAGTGCTTAGGTGAGACTTCGGTCAGTTCGTGAAATAGGCTGTTTATTCCATAGAGATATTGATTAGTAATGATATATCAATGTATCACCATTTAAAAGTGGGTTGAAAGCCTACGGGCTGTCCAAACTTCATTCATTTTCAGGCCTACTATACTTGAAAAGCTTGATTTTTTGCATTCAGCTGTTTACATGTTCCCTACGAATACTTGGCAAATATAAATTCACCAACACAGCCGACTGGCCAAGAATCGAAGTTGTTCCAGAATCTAGACTACGTATCGGGCACGATTGCCTGGTGAAACGCATTCACAGAATAGGAGCATGCGCTCAGCCAACATGCCCCCCTATGTGGCCAACAGGAGGAAATGGAGAAGACCCACCTGATACGTGTGGTAGTCCTACAGACAACGACAGTGACCCAGAGATACTGGGGAGCCAGAAGTCAACAATAGGGTCGATGTTAAATTACCTAGAGCATATATATATATATATATTGACGTATATGTTCCTTCCCTCTGTGAAGTCCAGTCAGCTAAGGGTCTAATAAAAAATGTCATAAAGCCTAACATCAGGTATAAATGGAGAAGTGAAAAAATAAATTTTAGATGTCAAATTCAATTGCTTTATCACTTCTTACAATAATCTAATTAGCTAAGCATGAATTACATTTGTTAATTTAAAAATGACTGGAATAATTTGATATAAACCCTCAATTTGAAATTCTAGTTGAGCAATATTACTTATGGCAACAAATGACAATTCATACTTTGGTCAAAGGAAAAAATACCTAAATGAAAATAAATTTTAAATGGCTTAAAATAGGAAAAGACATTTTGAGGAGGGCAAATAACATCACCATTGACATTAATAAAAATAAATCATAATTTTGAATAAAATTAAAAATACACACAAAGCAAATATTTAAAATGAAAATTTGCAGAACATTCTCTAGTGAATTTGGATACTGTGATTAGTTATTTTTAAGTAGGAATGTGTTTGCAAATCGCGTCTTTTATGAAAGCAAATAATTTTAGCACATATAATTGCCTTTAGTTGTGTGTTCTTAACAATGCGCGGTAAATAGAACCAGTTAAACAGAAAATACAAAATACTGCTGAGAAAATATTTCTCGTTAGCAGCTCCTTTTGTTTAAAAAACGTTTGCCTTATTGGTATGTTAATACAATGTATATTCAGGAAATAACTGAACTTTTACATAAGACGTCAAACCAATCTTACCACCAAATTTCAAAGCTTTTTTTTGGTATTTGGGCAAAATAAAAAAAAACCATTGACATTGCGGCTCAGTCCAATTATCTGTCAAGAGGCTCTAAGTATACCGTCTCATCATCCAGATTCTATCTTCTGTATCTTGGGGTGTGCGATAGACTTACCTCCACGTGGTGCACCCTGGGCAACGTATACTCATACGGCAAAAAAGTCTATTAACCGGCAGTTGACTTCNGAAGTCAACTGCCGGTTAATAGACTTTTTTGCCGTATGAGTATACGTTGCCCAGGGTGCGCCACGTGGAGGTAAGTCTATCCCACACCCCATATTTACTTAATGTAGTAAGTGGTACCAGTTACCAGGCAGCTCAATAAGAGATGAGAGAGAGTGTGTGTTGGATTGGAAAGAGGTTGAGAGCAACACCAAGTTACCGAAAAGTCTTTAAACTATATTTGCCATATACTATATTTCCAAGATTGGCCGGAGTTGGTTGAGTGTGCCGATTAGCCAACTCATGAGAGCCCGGGTGGCAAATACACCTCGGTTGCTGTTTCCAGCCTAGATTGAGAGATATTTCCAAGATTCAAATTTAATGTTTTGTCTTTCGATTGACAGAAAGTGCTTGTCTGTGATGTTCAACACTTATTAATCGTTTTTTTATTAAAATATTCTAAGGGTACGTATAGTGATAAGCAAATCTCTTACATGCGTGCATAGTCTCATGCGGATAAATAGAAAGATTGGAGTTCATTTAAAAATAAGTTTAATAATTCATGATAGTGATTTACGAAAATCTACATCAGTTTTCCCCAGTGTTTTGAGATCAACCCAATTGTTTGCAGAACATTAAATTTGTTTAGTGAAACGATATTCAGCTCGATTTTGGGCTGTATTTTTTCATGTCGTTTATTTTCAGTTCTTTAATCCCAGGACAAATTATTGTTTAAAGTATCTGCGGAAATGTGACGAAAACTGTAGGTTAATTGTCCTATTGTAGAAGAGTCTATTGTGTTTTGGATAATAGTTTAAATGCATTTTTTGTGCATTACTCTCTGCCACACACACACTCTCTCCAACTCTCTAAAGAAATTTTGCCCTCTGAATCGGCCAAATACACACACGCCTATGTAATTTAGCGAGACTGTATCATACTCATGAGGTCACTGACTCACCATTTATGTCTGGAACCTATAAGTGGTATCATAACTGAACTCTCATTAACCCTCTGAACTAATAATGTTTCCTTAAGGTGATAACTTTGTCTAATGCATGCCCTGAGTTAGAATTCGATGACGGGTTGTTATTGTCTATGTGGTTGACAGTTATTCATACGATTACCTGTCCTCACAACAAGGCGCTAAAAAATCGATTGGTGCTTTATAAGCATCCTTAAGATATGTATCAACATTGAATGGTTTGATTGAAGAACACATATCGATCTTGTGAATTTAATTTTCAACAACGAAGATATCCCTTTTTCCTCAACCAACCCCTAGAAACGTTATCTGCTAATTATGTACAATTTAGGTAAATTTTACTCACTGCTTCCTAGTTATTTCCAATAAATCGTTATATTAATCAATAATTGTACTTATTTACTACTATTATAAGCTTCGTGTTTAAATTATAATCATAATGCATTAGTGGTGTTGTTTATTTTATCTTAATGTACTACTTATAAATTTTCCTTTGAAAGCACATATACTTCTCAGAAGAGGGGAAATTTTGCACAAAAGTGCTTTCATCTTTATATTGATTTTAAAAATTTCCTAACTCTTTGACTGGATTATTATTTAGTAAATTCAGTTTATGTAAATGTCATACGGCAAAATCCTCATTTTCATTTTAGTAAAACACACTATTTTCGCTTTCTATTATGTATTATTATAAAGCCTACATTACGATCACTTCCTTTAATGTTATCGTTATTGCGTTTGTTATATTGATTTATGAAACAATGTACATTTCTGGAACCAAGACAGAGTTATAAGACGGCTACTTTTCACACTTCTAAAGAATGCAAATGCGCGTTAGAAGTGTTTTATAATGAATTAGCAATGAGTGAAAGTCAGCCGACAATTGGATTTATTCGACTCTCCTAATGGTGATTTCCCATCTAGTTCCTGGAATGGATGTCGAAAAGCATGCGAATCATGTTTCTTCTACAGCGGCTTCCCTTCTGACCCAATTATCAGGACAGCTACAGGAATTAACAACTTCCAACACAGCCTCCCTACAGAAACAACCCGGGCCCATCAATGGAAACGGCGGTCAGGTTCAAAATGAGTCAATGGAATTTGATTTACCTGCCCCACCTTCACCAGATATGCTAGATGTTCGCTAGGATCCTGTTTTCTTACATCCTCTCCATATTCAAGTAGACAGACAGACTTCAACACATTTTTAGTGTATTTCTCTTCAACTTCCATTCTCCCTAATATTACTACTTCTCGCGCCATTTAGATTATGAAACATTTCCCCCCCCCCCCAAATCCCCTCCCTTGCTCGATAATTCAATTTGAAGACCATTGTTTAAACGAATTTCCTCTCAACTTATAATGCAACTAGTCAAAATAATGATGCATCATTACAAATTATTAGTGTTCGTCAGCAGCATTTGTGAAAATAGCTTACTAAACTTATTATAATAAAATTAAATTTTTCGTTGTTTCTTTGTTTTTGGGTGCACGGGAAGTGGGTATTTAGTTTGGCATTTGGCAAGATTTGTGTCTCGACGGCTTGCAGGTAATCGCTAAACCAAGTGAGAAGTTGGAGTCGTCAGAATTTGGGGAAATCAGAACTCTCTAGAATGACTGGTTTAGTTACAATGCAACGTAATGAACAAGTATGAAATTGAAACAAAGTTTGATTGTTTACAACGAGTTTGAAATGTTGTTGTTAATTATAAGTTAACTTGGCGTCTAACTTCTACTCGATCTGCTATTACTAATACGGGCAGGGATAAATTGGTTAACGGTCTGCACCGCCCGAAATGGCTGTTGAGCATTGATCGTTGTTTGAATGGGTGTTCCTCAGTACTGGCCCTCAAAGATTGGTGTTTGTGAGGCTAATACGCGGATAGGATGAGGGCAATACATAATTGTTGCTGAAATAGAAGAATTCTAAATAGTTATGAGCTTTGCGTATTCCAATGGCACAGCTAGCAGTTGAAAGTAAAAGAATTGTGTTAATTAATCTCACAATGCCAAAATTTCTTTTAGCATAAGTTATGGTTATTTGATTAAACTGATGAGTCAGAGAGAATCCTCTTGTGCATATCACTTCATTACCGATTCCTCAAAGCGTTATATATCAACTCAGTGCTGTAGAATAGGAAGAAGAGGGATGTCAAACTCAATCATTTAAACTTGGTTAGTTAAAGGAAAATATTAGTGAAAAACTTTAACTTAGACACTATCGTAACTTAATTAAGCCGGATGGGCGGTTTTGGCATATCGAATAAGGAGTTAGCAGGGTTCCAAGCTTACAAATATTTGTGGAGTGCGCAACACTGTCATGACTAAACAAAGAAACCTCAAGCCGACTCAAACTCGAAAGTGCGGCCGTGCTACTTGTGGCGTAAGGAGCAGGTGCGATCGTGAGCACGGCATCACCCAGCCAGCCACTAATCGGTGGCCCTTGCATTGTTTAACAAATCCCTCATTGTTTTTTTTAATGACCAAGCTCAGTGACAGGCGCACGGCCAAAATAAACGTGTTCCAAATCAAGCGTCTGTTCCCTCTATAACTTTGCTCTATCTCAGCCAGTACTGGCAATCACCCCAAACCAGGATGACTTGCCTTATTAGAGTAGCAACCCACCTCTCCCCTAAGCTGCATTCTTAGTATAACTTTAAGATCTAATTTATTTGAAAACTTCGAGTGCCTTTACATTTTATAGATAATATGAAGTGAATGATGTCGATATATCCCAAAAGCAAACAACTCAGGAATAATCCTTGAGAAGTCTTCACAAATTGAGTAGGTTCGCAGACCATCCCTAGCTGGAGAAGAAAACTAGCGTCTGAAATTCAATGACTGTGGTTGATGTTCGCCATGTATGCAAATTAGCAGTCGCTGAATAAATTAAGTTGTCATGGAAGTCACTTTTAAGCGACAGATTACACCTATCATTATAGAGTGAGTTAAAATGTAAAATTTAGTCATTTCCCTCAAGTCATTTTTTTGCTGAGGCGTATTACCCCGATTAGAATTCCTCAATATCACATATAATGTAACTAATTGAACAGTTCGAATAACTTGTGACATGGTAATCTGGCACGTAATGAAATCCCACACAAGGAATTGGATTCAAAGATGATTCCAGGGATCTCCCATGATAATGCACCTATTATCACGCTATCAACCAATTGGAACAAACCGTAATATATCCTACTATCTCCGTTAGACTACAGCTAATCTCATGTTTCGACTTACATCGATAAAACTAATTTAAAAATCGCCTAAAAAAGAAATTGCTCGTCATCTTAATTCTCACAGAATGATCATTTACCAGGTATCAATACTGCCATAGATAATCCTCTTTTATGTTTCATAAGAAATGTGCCAATAGTTATTTTTCATTTTTTAGAATTATTTACATGCAAAGTAAGAGCAAGTGCGTTAAAACAATCCAAGAAATACAACTTTTACTATTACTATAAATATATTCTTTATTTCAGATTTCAGGCATTAATTAATCAAAAACTATAACAAAATTAAGGAACGGAATTTTTGAAAGAATTCTGCTGTAAACAATGAGTCGATCAATTTATTTGCTGAAATAAATACGAATTATTAAAAATTTTAGTGAGTGTCTGCTCCTGTTTACTTTAGATCATTGAGGTATGAATTTCAATTTCAACCTTGGTTGAGGAAATGGACTATAATAATATTCAACTTCATTCTACTAAATTTCTTCCACTGAGACCAATTCATCCCTCTGTCAATTTGATCGTACTTTCACCACCCAAACATTGTAAAATTATATGGTTTTTTTAATTTTTATCGCATTCATTTACTACAGCTTTATTTTGTGGAAGAAAAATATTTACTCATCAAAACACTATGTGATATAATTTGTGGCTTTATTGCTGAAATGCGTAATTAAGTACTGCTTAATAAATAAATAAAGGGTAATATGCTAACTAAAGTAATCCTCACTTAATTTTGAATTTCCATTTATATACGAAACATTTATTTATTTCAAATGGCAGGCGTTTTGATAGCTATCATTAGCCATTTAGCTGACTTCGGGCTTCACAGAGGGAAGGTTCATCAAAGAAGAAGAAAGTCGAGGGGTAGGGAACAGAAGAGCAATTCACAGATGTAAAAGAGGCAGACAGACACAAAGGTAGAGAAAAAGGTAAGATGAATACTGTGGAAGGGGTTGAATATGGCAAGCAGTCGTGCCAAGGTAGTTTGAAGTGAGAAGTCAACTGCCGGTTAATAGACTTTTTGCCGTATGATTATACGTTGCCCAGGGTGCACCACGTGGAGGTAAGTCTATTGCACACCCCCTAAATACGAAACATAGCTACAGTAAATTATTGTGATTAAAATTACTGTCAAATTAGTCTGAGGCTTATAATATATTACAGACCGTAAAAGATTATTTGACTTATTTACTTATTTATTGTTTTTTGAGCATAGAAAGAAACTTTTAAATAAATAAATTTTGGGATGAACTGCATATTCGAATATATTTGATGAATTTGTTTGGAAAATTTGTATTTTAAAATATCAATAGAGTGAACAAAATAGATGGTCCGGTCATAACTTCATAGATTTTAACAAAATATCTGCGGNACAGTGCTCATCTTACCTTTTTGATGCCTTTGTGTCTGTCTGTCTGTTTGTTTTACATCTGTGAATCTCTCTTCTGTTCCCCCCCTCGACGTTTTGTCACTTTGATGTTCCTTCTTCTCTATGTGAAGCCCGAAGTCAGCTAGAGGGATAATGATAGCTATCAAAACGCCTGCCATTTNCACACAAAGCAAATATTTAAAATGAAAATTTGCAGAACATTCTCTAGTGAATTTGGATACTGTGATTAGTTATTTTTAAGTAGGAATGTGTTTGCAAATCGCGTCTTTTATGAAAGCAAATAATTTTAGCACATATAATTGCCTTTAGTTGTGTGTTCTTAACAATGCGCGGTAAATAGAACCAGTTAAACAGAAAATACAAAATACTGCTGAGAAAATATTTCTCGTTAGCAGCTCCTTTTGTTTAAAAAACGTTTGCCTTATTGGTATGTTAATACAATGTATATTCAGGAAATAACTGAACTTTTACATAAGACGTCAAACCAATCTTACCACCAAATTTCAAAGCTTTTTTTTGGTATTTGGGCAAAATAAAAAAAAACCATTGACATTGCGGCTCAGTCCAATTATCTGTCAAGAGGCTCTAAGTATACCGTCTCATCATCCAGATTCTATCTTCTGTATCTTGGGGTGTGCGATAGACTTACCTCCACGTGGTGCACCCTGGGCAACGTATACTCATACGGCAAAAAAGTCTATTAACCGGCAGTTGACTTCAGACTCCAAACTACCATGATCCCACTGTATGACATATTCGACCATCTCCACAGTACTACATCACATTTTTTCTAAATTTTCAACCTTACAGTACTACATCACATTTTTTCTAAATTTTCAACCTTCGTCCTTGAAACACTCTTCAGTGCCCCTCCTCTCGACTTTTTTCACTTTGATGTTCCTTCTTCCCCTCTGTGAAGCCTGAAGTCAACTAAAGGGCTAATGATAACCATCAAAACACCTGCCATTTGATATAGATAAATAAATATTTCTTTTATACCATGTCTTTTGCTTATATATTTTATTTATATCCACCTAATTGCGCAGTGACCTCAATGATGCGATTGCGTAAAAGCAGCTATGCCACACTCATATTGCCATTTTTCTTGTGTTATTTATTTATCACATGTCATGCTTGCTCCTAATTGTACAGACGCTTCCCTTCTGACATTTTGGAATCTTTCCAGGAATTATTGGAAATGCGTACTGGCCTACTTTTTGATAGATGAAAACTGTAGCCAATGGATGAAAACCAATTGGATTGACTAAATTTGCTTTAAAATCTTGTACATTCACCAGATTAAATCATACTTAAATATTGACGTTAATAGAAACCTTCGCTATACTTGACATCAAAATTGCGTGGAAATCAACAATTGTTTGGAAGGGGATTCTTGAATTCCACACCTTTGTGCAAAATACGGCGAAATGATGACTGTTTACAGAATTAAAAGGCTTAGGTAAAATAATAGGATTATAAAAAGTTTTTTTATAGAATATCTGAATAGCCAAAGAATGAT